TGAACACAATTTTATACTTTCAGAGTAAACATGTTTTATAGATATATAGTTTGTAGACTGTCTATTGTAGGGGTTAGGTATTTGAGTATAAGCCTATTTCTTCAAGATATGACATTATGTTAACAGTTTCAGTATTTTCAAGTAATTTTCACATATTGTATTTATTTCTTACATGGACTAAGTGAGTACACTGTTAAAAAATGTTTCACCATGAGTGCAGCTTGGTATGTTGTACATGTTGGTTGATTTTCATTCTTCAGCAAGTATCTATACCCTATTTCCAAATAAAGTCATTTTGTTGTTCTACAAAATACTGCACAATATTCCAAATTCTGATTATGTTATGTAGAAAAATATTACTTTTGTAACATATAAAGAAACCATTGTAAAGTTCTTGGCCCAACCCACTTTCAAAATTCTAGCCAAATATCAGAGTGGACTGGAGGGTTTCTTGGTCAAGCAAAGAACTTTTCAACCACCTCTCGTAGAATAAAAAATATGACACCATGAAGCAAATCAAAGAGAATTCAAATTAAATTGGTAAAGAAAAAAAAAAAAAAAAGAAAAAAGAAAAAAAAAGCTTTTGCGTCATTTTACAGAATCAAATAGAGAACACTGAAACAGCGTTGAACAAAAATGGTTTTTATAAAGTGGTTTTTGAGAATTTAAATTCAATAATAAAATAAAAAGAACATGCCATGTTGCTTTAAATGATAAAACACATGATAAAAATCCAACTAGTAATACATACATGAGATGCTGAAAAGCTTTCAGCCTGAAGAAGTTAGGATTAAAAAAAAAAAAACATTTTTGGATGAAAACTTTTCAACACCTTGTAGAAAAAAAACATCTTCTAGGTGGGCCTAAGAGCTAGGAAAAAAAAGAAAACAAAACAAAAAAAAAAACAACAAAATAAGCAGAAAATTACAAAAAATAAAACACCAATTCAGAATTAACAGCAAAATTACTATAGTTTTTCTTTTCTTTTTGTTGGGGGAGGGGTACTAAATTAAATCAAGCTGGCACATATATATAAAAAAAAAAAAAAAATCAATGTAAGTGTATCACTTCTATTCACTTTCTTTTTACAGGTCAAGCAGTTGACATTTCTTTCATCAACACTGATACAGCTAATGTTTATATTCTACTTTAGCTAATCAATACTTCTTGTGGATGGAGATTACATTACCAAATAATCTACTTTTAGGTAAGCAGTTCACTTGACCTCTAACACTAATAGAAAGATTCTTTATATGTAAATAATGTAAAAAGTGATGGCTTATGATAGTTGGTACAAACAATTAAAAAAGATTACTTTTTAAAAATGAATAAATTTGGAATATGTAAAAATACCTATGTCTACTTAACTACTAGTTTTAGATATAATTTTTATATCTGCCTATTTTTCTGAGATTTGGATTGTAACTATACTATTTACATTGTTTAGACTGTTGTCCTCCTCTTTACCATTACATTCACAACTTTTTAGCTGTTGTATGCTCCAGCCTTCTGCCAGTGATATTTGTTGGAATTTTGAACTGAATCCTTTATTTAGTCCACAGTTCTAATTCCATGTACAACTCTATGGAGGTCTCAGTCTTAGCTAATTTGTTGTGATAACTTCAAGGTTTTGTTCTCTTCACTGAGGCCAGGGATTGAACACATGACTCATTTTTTGGATCAATCAACCAATGCTTTTTATCCATTGGGCCATGTGTTTTTGGGGACATAGGTGAGTGAATTTTTGTGACATATGGTCCAGTAGATAAAAGCTATGGTTGATTGATCCAAAAAGTGACTTGACCCAAAATCCCTGGCCTCAGTGGAGAGAACAAAAACTTGGAGAGTTATCAAAGCAATTAATTTGTTCTGAGAAATCTCCAAGTTTTTGTTCTATCCACTGAGACATCCAAAGAGTTGTACATGAAATTAGAACAAATACCCTCATGGACTAAAAGGGTTCAGTTCAAAATTCCAACAAATATCAACTGAAGAATTCTGGAGTGTACAGCAGCTGAAATGTGGTGAATATGACAGTAAAGATGAAGACAACAGTCTGAACAATGTAAACAGTGTAAATAGTTACAATACCTCATCTCAGAAATATAGACAGATCCTGAAGAAGGCCGGAGCATACAATGGCCAAAATGTTGTGAATATGACAGTAAAGATGAGGGCAACAGTTTGAACGATGTAAACAGTGTAAATAACTATTTTTAGTGATACAAATCAAACATCAAATGATGAATTTTTAATCTATGATGGTAAGAATTAAATGTTGGCATTAATCCTACATAATTTAGTAGATCTTGTAACACATTTTAAAAGACTTTTTATATATTTCTTATTATGCAATTAATAGATCTTCCTTAACTCTTTAGGATTCGACCCACCTAAACCTGCCCTGTAAATATTGGCTCTCAATGTTGTACCTGCCATAACCTGCCCCATAAACACTCTGCCATAATATATGACAACATCATCGCAAATAATGCAGGAAGTCATGCAAGCAATGAGACTTTAAGAACCAATATTTATGGAGTGGGTTTGAGCATGTTGAATGCTAAAGGGTTAAATAAGAAACCAGAAGTTCTTCAACATTCAGCCATAATTGTACTACAATAATGAAATAGCATACAGAATGTGTGCAGTGAGATGATGATCAGCCTTACAAATTGCAATATCAAAAAAATCGACTTTTGATTCAACTTGTTGTATTCAATGCATTATAAACAAGAATGTAATATAGAAACAAAAACAAAATGCACTGAAAATTTACTTATGTTGGAAGTGTGATTTACCTAAGATTAAAATATTTCAGCAAACTGATTACCTTTCCAGTTATTAATCAGAAATACCTTTTATTTAAAGAAAAACTAAGATTGGCACCAAAGCAAATACTGCCATGAATATTGTTACAAAAATTCAACAAGAATTTACTCAATTCAAACAAAGAAACAAACTTCAATTTTAAATGTATGACAAAACACTGATGCAGCTAATGAAATTTAAAGAGTTTGTTTTGGCTGAAACAAAGTACAAATGGCATATGAATGTAACTTAGATTCAAGAACAGAAGCAATCAGTTGAAAAGGAAAAATAGTTACAAAAATGTACATGTTTAGGCATTTAAGATCAGCAATACATTTGTGGATATTTTGAAACCTATTTTTATTTGCTAATATTTGACTATTTATCAAAAACTAACAAAATGTCAGACAACAGGCGTTAAAGAAGAATAAAGTGTCATTTTTAAGAGAAAAATGAATTTTAAATGTTTCTTAACAGTTTGTAAATCTGATGTGTGGTAAATATACAAAATTTGAAAATTTTGGCATGTTTCACTGATCCAACAACATTCTTAGAAAAATGGATTTTATTTCATTCAAATCTATCTAAATAAAAATTTCTGCTGCTATCTGATCAGTAAAACATGTCAAAATAAAGAATTTTCCAAATTATATATTTAGCATTTCATCAGATTCTCATCCAAATTTAAATAAAATCTGATGTGAAATAAATATCAGTATTAATGAATTAAAAAAATATTAGTTCCTACAGTTTTGTAAAAAAAATTTTTATTTCTATTTTCTGATTTATATTTGAGATTTTCTTAACTTTATTAAACAATAAAGAACTAAAAACAAAAAAAAACTCAGTTCTTTAACTACAGTATAGATGTTTTAACAGATGTGGTATGATAGTAGCCTTATAGTAACCTCATCATAACTTTGTTGTTACAAAAAAGTGCTACCTAGTAACAGTGAAATTAAGTTGCTACCTATCTGCAAGTTTGCAGTAATGAAATTTAATGCACGTTAGAAAGTTTACAAAGAACGAGACAGAATTTTATTTCCATATATTATTAGAAATAGCTCAATATTTGTCTTGTAGATGAACAGTGAAAACTATTTCATTGTTTTGAAATAATTGTGTGCCTACAGTAGTGCAATAGTTGTGCAATAAATTGTTGTGTGAAGGCAAATATGAGTAACAGAGTGGAATTTGCTTAGTAATTCTAAGAGGGGTTGTTTGTTTTATAGGCCTTAGAGTAAATTGAAAACATTTACAAAAGAAGATATTAAGATTTTACTAAGAGACCTGAAATGTATCTCTTAAATATAAAGAATATATAAATGTTCAAGAATTTTACATGTGGTCATTATGAATATTTACCAAATATGTAAAAATATCAAAAAAGAAATTTTAAATCATCACAAAAATATATAAAAATTATTTGATACTGAGACAGTCTCATAAACTTTGTTAAAAGAGTGTTGTTCAAAATTAAAAGAGAATAAGACAAAGAAGGTATTTAAAAATTAGTACTTGAGATCTTTTAAGTACAAATAAAAATGTTTGAAAATTCCCTTGAAAATGTTTCATAAACAAACTGATTTTTTTTTTGGAATTGATCAGAAAAGATCTTGAAACCTATTAAATCAGAAGATTAAAAGAAACATTTCCTTCTTTTAGGAACATCATATTAAACACAAATTTGGTTCTTACAAGTATTCCTCAATCAATTCATTATTAAATAAAAATACAATCCTTAAAAGGCAAAGTGAGCTGTTTTCAGTTCTATAAATTTTATATATTTGTAGAAAGTGCAGATTAAACTTCTAACAAAGTTAAAATGTTAAACTGCAATTTTTTTAATTTCTAATTTTTTTTTATTATATAAAAAGTTTTTGTCTAAAAAGTCACACATTTCTTCTCAGATTTTGAAAAAATATTAAAAAGGTTTTCAACATAAATTATGTAAGCTTATTTCAACAAATAGTAGCTTTTATACCCAAGACAAGGGATGATTTAGGATATGTAATGCATGAATTTTAAATACTTCATTGTTAACCGTACATGTAAAAGGGATGAGAATCAGCCCAATGTTGGCTCATCTCTTGGTGGTAGAAAGAAGAAAGAACAAAAGTGATTGTTAAATTATTAATAAGAGAAGAACCATTATGATTAAACTAAAAACTGTAGCACTCACATCAAACTTTGGCTGGCTATTTGTAATTGGAGGTTCACGTTCCCATTTGCTGGCAATCTGTAATGTTTCCAGAGTTTTTTGTTGAGTTGTCTTAGAGTCATCCAACAGAGTTACTTCATAAAACTCCTGAATATCTGAAAGCAAAATATTAAGTCAGTATATAAATCATAATAAATGGTAATAATGGCACAGAAAAAAAAAAAGAAAAAGAAAAACAGACGCTTTAAACAGCTTAAAATTAAATACAGGTAGCCGATTAATTTTAAGCTACTTAAAGTTAAGTGTTACATGCATGGTTTCAACATAAGATTCTAGTTATTAAATTTCGTTTTTAAAGTGATACCGAACAGCGTACTCATGCCTAAAACATATTTGATTTTATTATAATTGTTTTTCATAAATTTTAAATGTTTAAATTTATATTAAGAAATGGAGGTAAAACAATTCTTTTCTTGTTAATATTAAAAAATAAATAAATAAAAAATGTTATGATATATTTAACAATAAAAAAAAAAAATGATAAAAAGAAAAAAAAAAAAAGACAAGATTTCATTCAAAATCAACTTTTTTTGACAATAGAGTATATTTCAATAAACTTATTGTTGTAACCTCAAACAACAGTTGGCAATGAGCAATAATACTTAGGACAAGAACACATATAAGATTCGCCAGCAGTGTATAGAAGAAGTCAACTGCTAGAAGTGAGTCAAGTGAATTCCACAATGAATCTCCCACTGTAGGATATCTATCAACTGCCCCACGTGGTCAGATGTGGCACAAGGCCGAATTTAATGTGGGGTATCCAAGCCAAAAAATCCCCATAGACCCCATATAAAATGGGATCGAGTAGCTGTTTCCTGAGACAAGACTGCCTCGTCTGGGGATCCTCTCTGCTCAGAGGCAGAGAGTTTGAGCAACACAGCTGGAGATGAATCTCCAACTGCAGACCAACATACAGTATTTACTACTGTATTTATGTGAATTGGGACATACTCATTATTTTCTGTAGGTATGCTACAACACTTATTTTTTCCAATTTTCCACTTGTGTCATTTACCTAAATTCACAAGTCATATATATATATATATATATATATATATATATATATATATATATATATATATATATATATATACACACACACACTTTGTATAATAATCTTTAAATAAGGAACATAAAAAAAATTTTAACTCATTTTCAAATGAGACAATATTGCATCAAATGCTCATTCAAACATGCATATATAACTTGGCCATATCATTCAAGCAGATAAGCAATTTAATAAAAGATCTAACTACAATATGCTTGATTTGTTCTAAGTCAGATTATCCTCATTTACCAAATGGTAATTCATTGCAGAAATTCAATACTTGAGTAATAATCAATAATATTTACAGTAGTATAAGATCAGTAAAAGAGGTAAAAAATGATGAAACCTGATGGATTCTCCATGCCAATGAAAAACAAAGAAAGGTTGTTAAATATTTGAAAGTATTAAATGGCAAGTATTAAATATATACTGATAAAATAACTATGAATCAGTAAAAATATTTAAATTTTTATATTATTGTCATTATTTAGATGATTTTCTGAAACTCATTGTAATCAGAGTAGGCTTTGCTTATTTGTGGTTGTTAGTCAAATCTTACATAAGAATCTATTTATAGTCACGTTGGACAAGTGGCAAGTTGTCTAATAATATTAAAAGGTTGTAAATAACAAATATTTAGTGCATAAATCATAAAAGCAAAAAAAGACAGAAATAATTTAATTCTAGGGAAAGCAACATTGAAGTGATGAGTTGTAATTTTTTTTTTTTTTTTTTTTTTTCTCTAAACTATTTAATATTCACTTTCCAATAATAGAATTACATGCAAATTTTGTCATTTACAACACCAATCATAGTGAACAGATGTTCCCTCAGGGAGGCCCCATTCCTTGAACACCTATTGGGACAAACTCAACCAAGTCCAAGTTAAAATCGTATATACAATCTATTGCTAAAGATACTGAAAAAAAAAAAATGTTCAATTACCTGCCCTGCTATCCTTTACCTTTACAAAAGCCAGATCAGGCCCAAAATGTAATACCATTGTTATATATGGGCAGGTGCTTCCCAGTTTTTAATTTCCAGTTTTGATAATCCAAAAGCATCTTGGTGTCCTTGTGGCTACAACTTTTCTCACAGACAAATCTCTTCCTGCTCTATTGCTATTTCCATGAAAAGTATTGTACAAGGTGAACATAATTGTATAAAAAAACAAAAAATTATATAACTATTCATATTTCTAATATTGAGCAGTATATATAAAAATGTCTGCCGTTTCTTAAATAAAACTATATTTTCAAACTAGAAATACACCAAATATAATCAATATTTAAAAAGGATTAAATAAATAAAAAGCTACACTATTGTTGGACAAAAGTCAATTTTAAATATTTCAATTTATAACAAGAAATTATCTGAAGTATGAAGAAAAACCTTAGCTAAAAATCAAGAAATGTCTATCAAGTAAACAAGAACATCAGAAGAGTTTTTGAGCTGAAGTTTTAATTCTTGAATAACAATATAAAACATTTAGAAAAAACATTCTAATACAACCACTCGTCATTTAACAAGAAGAGTTCAGTTCAAAACAACATGTTTGCTCAAGAAAAAGTTGTAGTGGATCCAATGCTGTAATGAGTTTCTATCAGCCAGCGCTCAGTATCACTTTTGCTCTATTTGTAATGTTTCAAATTTATTCCTAAATGTTTATACAACAGTGTACTGAACAGTAAGCAATGAACAAATAAATTTTTAAAAAATCAGCTCTATATCATGTACATTGCTTCACCTTACATATATTAAAAGTAATTTTTTATTTTTTTTTTTTTAGGAGAAAAAAGTATGACAAAGTGAAAACATTTTTGTGTGATGCATTTTGCCCTTCTAAACTTTGAATTAAATTAATGTTTACCTTTTTTTCTTTTTTACTTTATTTTAATTCCATTTTAACAGAAAATGAATCTAGTTGGATTCATTTCTTATTTTATAAGATTTTAGAGCTAGTTATATGTCAGGAGAATTATTAAAAAAATTTTAAGTGAGGTATGACTTTATTAAATCTCACCTAGACAATGTTCTTAGGTAAAAAAAAAAAAAATAAATAAAAATTATTACAGTGAAAGTGATGTTAGTTAATAGTAAAACAATATACAGTTTAATAACACTTTACATAATGATGCAAGATAAAAGAATGATAGCCAGATTATGTAATCAGAAGGAGAAAAAAAATCCAGTCAAATCTCTTTCTGAACCATATTTGTTCATGGTCAGACCAACACTAGTCAAATGTTCTAACAAAATAAAAATGTCTACTGATATTCCATCTCCAGATAAGAATCTAGAATTTTAAATGCTGATTCTTAAGGTAGGTATACACACTTCCCTATATTGAAGACATGAAATCTTTTTATGCCACTTTTCCATAATTTACAGAGTCCAGCTGAATAAGGAGAAGTGGTATAAGACAATAGAAATTTAACTTACTAAGTATCCATTGTTGTTAAACCATTTCTTTTTCTTATTCACCCTATTTATAACATCATTTCAGTAACATCACATCTTAAGTAGTAACAAAGAAAATCAGTTGCATTCAATAGTGAATGTTATTGGGTAATGGACAGACTTTTAGTAAGAAACCAGACAGCAGAAAATGTTAGCATTTTGGCCATTATCCATGAGGTAAAATATTAGGTGGGAACCAAAACAAGATCTTAAGTATAAAAGAAAGAACGAAATAATAAAAGAATGGTGTACATGCTACAAATCACTAGATTAAAAAGAAAATACTGTCGAAACACTTGAATAAAAAATGAGTATTTAAATGAAATTGTAACTCAACTTGACTCTACAATCATTTTCTCTTATGATTAAGGCTAACGGTGAGTAATAGTCAAGTCAGAATTGTGACCTAGATCTGCTATTTCTAACAGTAAATACTATTTCACCATGAAAAGCTCACATAAAACTGGACTTTTAAGCTGTTTCGAATAGAAGGAAAGAGAGACAAGGGAAAGCAATGTGTGACATACCTAGTAGGCTTAAGTGGATGACAGAACAAGGTCTGGGACAAAACTTAGTGCTACAAGGGATAGGAGGAAGTGGAGGGCCATGAATGCCTACATCCTGAAGGGACATGGCACATAAAAGAAAAAAAAGAAATAAAATAGGTATATAGTGAGCTAATAGCAAATATTTCTTTAAAATATAATTAAGTAAAATTTCTGTATTAAAGAATTTTATTTTCAACAAGAGGTTAACATGGAATAAATTTGATGAATTGAGAAAGCATTCAATGATAATGCGTATTACAACTTAATGGATAGAAAGTTAATAGCATAAAAAGGGTATTATTATAATACTTGTTATGTAACAGTTTATAACTGATATAGAAGGCAAATTTTGAGAAAAAATCTGTTCACTTGAGTCTTAATGGTGAAAATGTGACAATATTTAGAAGTATGCCGTAAAGCAATTTTGCACGTTAAACTAATTTTTATAGATATATTATTTAATTATTTTTAACAGTCAATAATTGCAACAAAATGCTCTTCATGACACTGAACTTTATTTTTTCACAAACTACTCAAATGTGAGGTTTTTTATTTATTTATTTATTTTTTTCCAAGCAATATATTGATCTGGCCCTTTTATGCATTTTGTTTCTGAAGCATGATATGTAGTTGTGAACTTTCGTTGTGAACTTTCTTCCACTAGAGCAGGACTCCAATCAGCAGTCGCTACTCACTAGCACCTGATTAGCCTAAGTGCCCATCTTTTATAACCAACCAGAGGGGAACCACCACCACTCCTGGCTAAATAAGTACATCCAAAATAAGCTTTTCTTAAATGTACATATACATAAATTTAACTAAATCCATGCTGCTATTGGAAGGCCGTTAGTTCTCGCAGATCTTATCTTGACTCTCCTGTCCGCTGTCCTAATAGATACTTATAGTTGGTTACCACCTATATTGCTGCCACTCATGAGGTGGCAGGTTATTCCATTACATCAACAATAAATATTATAATTGACAACAGGCCCCAAAACTTATCTTATGTTTGTCATGATTATTAGATGTTTTGTCT